TTTTATTTTCCAGACAGCTGCTCGTACAGTTTAGGGACATAGTCATCCCACTCAGCCTGGTAGCAAGTTCCTGCCACTGGTGCTCCCAGGCTGTATTTCTCCCTGAAGCTCTGGATCTTGAATTTGCCGCGGTTGTCTCCGCAGCGGTTGGTGAGGTCAGGCTCGCTGCAGGACAGGGTGCCTGACTGCTCATACACCAGCCACACATACCTATGGAGACCTGAGTCGGACAAGCACACAGGATTTTAAACATTGAATTACACACTAAGAAAGAAAAAATTAGTTTATTTTAAACTCCAAAGAGCGTGAGCAGCAGATACCATGAAAAGAAAATTGCATGTCTAAACCTTTTCCCCACATTTCACACAAGAGAACATTAACTTTGTGCCCTCTCCTGCCTGGCAGCTTTTACCAGTAAGAATTGTGATCTGTATGCAAAATTGTGCCAAACACATTTTGCTTATACAAGACGAGCTCTACAAATTACCTATAGACTCCACTTGTTCATGTGTTCCGTTTACTTATTTAATAATTTCCATTTGTGTCATTTCTGTTATCACAGTGCATGTGCATCAGGGCATCATTGGTGTTTTGAAATCTAATTTCACACATGCACCACAGCAATGAGCCTTCTGCTAAAATTTAAGAGCGAGTCAGATTGAATATTAATGGACGTTTGTGGCAGTTGCCACCTGGGAAACTTTGATTCTCCCAGCACTGTCCAAAGGTTCATCAGAGTAAAACTTCATTCATTCATTCATTCTTACCTGTGCCATTAGGAGGACCAGAGCCCACATAGTCAGACTTGACGCAGCCAGAGGACACATCGTTTCCTTTCATGTTGACTACCAGAAAGTGGTGCCACTCCCTTTAGTGAAAGAAAAGATAATCAGTTTGATATTGAAAATCTGAACTGTACAGAAACTGTTCGAGCTGTCATTACCCTCGTGCAAAAAAAAATGTAGCTATGAAACTGTGTTTTTGAACATGATCAAGAGTCAAATGTAAGCGGCACAAATGAAAAGCCTAGGCCCACTTCAGTGGCCTCCCAGTAGGTCCTGTCTGTGCTCCATTAACATGCTCCTTTCACCTGAATTTGGGGTTCTTCCTGCTGGGAGCGTCAGGGTCGGTCAAGGCCAAAGTGTACAGTTTACTGGAGTCACATCCTTCCCATTCGATGCAGGTGGGTCGATTCTGCACCTGCAGCAACACGCGGACAAAAGTGCGTCAACTTTCACTTTTATGCCGGAGTTTGAGGCCGTTTGGGGGCGCTAAAAGCCATCGACTAAGGGCATACTACCAGGGAGCATTATGTAACCCAATTAATTTGTGGTAGACGGTTACAATACTTACTAATCTTACCAATCCCATGTAATCATTTATAATGCACTGTTAGTTTAGAGAAATGCAGTACAGTACTTTAAACAGCATTTAAACGCATCACCAAGAAGCGACGCTAGTAGCTACACTTGCTAACAGACAGTGGTTAGCTGACAAACCTGTGTTGGAGTAAGCACTTTTCCCAGCTCATCTATTTCCACAGATCCGTATTTTATAGTCAGGGGCTTTGCAGGCTTTTCCTCGACCTCCTGCAGAGCAAGAGACCCGGTCCACTGGCTCAAATCTACAGGCATTTTGAGGCGTTTGCTTTGCAGACGATTCAAACTGAAACGCTACTTGCAGATGTACGAGAACTGCCAACGGTGCTGCATTCATGGACCAGCAGAAGATGTGCGACATGGAACGACTCCGCGTGTTTAAGAGTTAGAATAAAAACAAACAAACACTTAAACAGTTCAAAAAGAAAAATATTCCGTTTTTAAAAATTTGAAATAACCCTTAACAAACACAAATTTCAAAAACTATAATTACTATAATTACTGTACTCTTTTGTCAATCATCCTTTTCTATTAGCTCCTGGTATTGGTACTTTAATATTATGAAAAATGTTGCCCATTTGCACATAGGCCTACTATTGATAAAGATATGGTGCTCAATGCCGGCATTTCTCCAGCATATGGCCCTTATTTGAGGCGTGAATTAACATATTATTATTATTTTCTATATTTGGCTCTTCATGATGAATCATGGTTTTCTCAGTAATCCGATTCCAATTTGAAGGGCACAAACAAAAACCTACAGGAAACGCCGCCAGAGGGCGCAGTCCCCGTTACTCTTTTGTGGATTGTGATTTGCTAAAGTTTCCGTCAATCACATCACCCGTCCTGAGCTCCTCCCTTCTCCACCTTACGTGCTCCATTAACAAACTTAATGTTTCCAGACTTTTCCATCTTTAAAACGTTGACATTATACACTGTTTTAAACAATGGGCGTTAACGTTTTCTCAAGACACTTGAGCAAAAGAAAGAAATTATTATTATTATTATTATTATTATTATTATTATTATTATTATTATTATTAAAGTTATGGGTAGTGGTAGGAGGGTATGTTTTGTTTTTGGTATGTTGTTGTTGTTGTTGTTGTTGTTGTTGTGTGGGGGGGTTTTGGTTTTTTTTGTCTTATCAGGAATAAGCACATCCTACAGTCAGCCCTCCTTAAAATTTTAGCAGCCTGCAGAAAATGACAAAAAAAACAGAGCATGCATTGACTTTAACCACAGTCTGACAGTCCAGTCCTAGTATTTGTAAAGGGTAGGAAAGTGCATTTCAGATTAAATGAGTTTAATAAATGAAAAGAAAAAAATGAAAATGAAACACACTGAAACAATGAGTAAGCATATGTTAAATGCTTAGCCTTCTGACTCCAGACAATTTTAAATTAGGTTAGAGTATGGTTGTAGCTTAGGCTGTGTTGATTTGTGAGGTGTAAGACTCCCGTGAAAGCTCTCTCTCCCTTTCTTCACAGGCAATACTCCTATTCCTGCAGGCCAAACTTTTTTTAGTATCCTTATGCAAGCTCATGATTGTAATTAGGTTGTTATTTTAGTCTGTGTGACATTACAGCTGCACCAGATAGTAGTCCTACTGAGAACCACAATCTGCCTAGAATAAAAAATCTGGGACTGTAATCACATAAAGTAGTTACAATATACAATAAGGCTGTGTAGTGTTTTCACAAATCCAACAAATTTTGCTTATCCATAAAGTCATTAGGAGAATGAACTCTGCCCTATATTATTAATATTATTAATATTGGAAAAAGGCACAACATTGGCAGCTCGCCCCCTTCAGATGATTCATGCAGAGAGAAGCATACTTTGTTGTGTATTTGTGGAGTTTGAGGCATCATTTTGGTTGCTCGTGGAGTTACTTGGGGAACTGAATGGAAATGAAACCAAAGGCCATCATAAATGCAAAGGCTTGGCTTATAAAAAACATTTCATGAAAACAGATGTATTTTTAAAATAGTAATTACCTAATAAGATTATAAAAACAACTGAAAACTGAATTTTTAAGAGAAAGAAGTAGAAATAGATACATTGTTTCCTAAAAATACAGAATTGTAACCAAATAAACGGTTGACAACTGATATCTATGATATCTATCAGTGATATCTATGTTTTTAGTATTATCTTAGCCCTATTTATAATGTCCGTTTGTTACAATAACAGCCTGACATCCATCTTTTCTGACTACAATCTCTTTTACTACCTTTAAAAAAAGGCAAGAAAATGAGCTAATTTATTACCTGCGATAAGAAAAAAGAAAAGTAAAACAAATGGCTGTGGTGTTACTGCACCTTTAAGAAGGTGAGGTCAGGGTGTGGTTTCTGTCCTGGTAAAGTTTCCGGCTTGGCATGCTCATGTAAACAGAGCACCTCTACCAATTCTTGGTGAAGCCTAAGAGAAGGACAGAAGTCGGATCATGTCAGACCGCTGCCATCTGCCGACACTGGGTTCCGTGTGCTGTGGTGTGTAATGGGCAGACCGGTGCCCGGTGTGTTGCTGCGTATCACCGAGGTGCTCCCGCAGGTGGACTAGTCAGACAGGTTTGACCTAGAAGTCGCAACTGTTCACTCATTTCTGAAGGCAATGTAGGAAAGTTATCATGAAGGTAGTAGCAACGTTAGCGCTTCTGCAGTTGTATATTTCTGCAACAGGTGAGTTCGGATCGACTCGGAAAACACAGGTGAGTGTAAAAACCCCGCTTCAATCTTTTTTTTCTTTTCCTTTCAGCTGATCTCGTTACAGCGGAAGTTTCGGGTAATGTCTCAAGCGAAACGGCCCTGTCAGCTTCACCGGGTGACATCGTTGTACTTCCGTGTTACTCAGCAGGTAAAGTAACACCCGTGGTAACGACATGGACCAAAAATGGACGGGAAATCGTTACAGGCGGAGATCCCACTCGGCGCCTCATCGTGAACCCTGATGGGAGTTTGAACATCAGCGCGACGATGCTTGGAGATGAGGGGATTTACCTGTGCAACTCCACACTATCTGACAACCGCTCATTCCTGGCACGTGTGCTGCTTCAAGTAACAAGTAAGTGTATGCGCACATTTTGAACAATGAGCTCTTCACGGTGAGGTAATGTAGGTGTTGCTTGCCTGAATTCTTGGAACATTTCTAGCAAATGCAAACTGGTTCATCTACATAACATGTGGGCCAGTTCTCGACAGCGGCTGACTTTTGTAGATGGGTCTAAATGTGCTATGTGGAGTTTGCCAGGCCTTCACTTTGCTGCATGCTTCTCTCAGAATATTCTAGCTTCCTTCCACAGTCCAAAGACATACATACTGTTTACTTAGTGTGTCTAAATTAGCCATAGGTGTGAATGTAAGTGAACATGAATGTAAGTGTGTCTTCATGTGTTTGCCCTGTCATGTACTGCTGACGTGTCAGGGGTGTACCTGGCCTTATGGACAGTGACAAATGAGACTGTTTCCCACGGCCCTGTGACCCTGAATTTGAGGTTAAGAAGATGGATGGGTCTATTTGTAAAGCGCTTATAGCTACACTTTGAGAAGGCGGCTATGGTCATCGTTCTTTGATCTTTAAGGTCTTTATCAGCTAACCACTCAGTGGAGTACTGCAATACCTGATCAGTCTTCTTAATAATAATAATAATAATAATAATAATGGATTGGATTTATATAGCGCTTTTCAAGGCACCCAAAGCGCTTTACAATGCCACTATTCATTCACTCTCGCATTCACACACTGGTGGAGGCAGCTACAGTTGTAGCCACAGCTGCCCTGGGGCAGACTGACAGAAGCGAGGCTGCCATATTGCGCCATCGGCCCCTCTGGCCAACACCAGTAGGCGGTAGGGTAAAGTGTCTTGCCCAAGGACACAACGACCAGGACAGAGAGCCCGAGGATCGAACCGGCGACCTTCCGGTTACAGATACGCTTCCCAACCCCCCTGAGCCATGGTCGCCCACGACATTCTTGAAAAATGCAGACTTTTTCCTCTATCGCTGCTTGAAGAAAGATTCTGAAAACTTTCAGTAGGCGTGGGTGCTCATTTCAAGTCCATTTTCATCCAAAAAAAAAAAAAAAGATCCAACTAGCTCACCTTTAAAACATCAGCCCACACCAGTACCCTACCTGCAGGTTCCTGGTGCCTGATTCAAAGTGGAGCTGTTACTGGTCCAGCTGTGGCTCGCTCATCTAGTCCATCAAGAGTCACACACCATCTCATTGGTCCACAAAAAGCTCAAAAATCTGTCTTGAGATATTTCTTGGTCCTGAATACACTGAATACCTTGTACTTCTGGGTATATGTAGGTTGCAGTCAGAGATGGGCAGTTACAAGTAATGCGTTACTATAATCTGATTACATTTTTGAGTAACGAGTAAAGTAAGGGATTACTATTACAAAAAAGGTAATTAGATTACTGTTACTTTCCCGTAAGCACGCTGCGTTACTCCGTTACTAAAACCGTGATTTTCTTTTTTTTTTTTTTTTTGCGAGAGTGTCTCTCATGACCAGTGTTGGTCAAGTTACTTGAAAAAAAGCAATCAGTAACTAATTACTGATTACTTCCCCAAAAAGTATTTTCAAAAGTAATTAGTTACTTAGTTACTTTTTAAAAAAATGATTTACAACCTGAGTAGGTAATAAAGCGATAGATCTTTCAGCCCAATTCTATTTTTTCTGCATAATCCATCATATAAAATGTAATCAAATGGAAAAAGTCTCTTTTTGAAACTAGTTTTATTAGCTTTAATCTTTTAACTTCACGCATGAGGCAAATATTAAATTATATGCAACATTCTCTGACTGGAAGAAATTTGTTTAACATTCAAACCTATTTTCTGCATATTCCAGCATATAAAATAAAATAGTTTTTTTTGTGTTTACACTCACCTTTCAAATAGATCCACGTAAAACACAGAAGTTAAAAGATTAAAACTAATAAAAGTTTTAAAAAGATACTTTTTCATTTGATTACATTTTATATGATGGATTATGCAGAAAAAGTAGAATTGGGCTGAAAGATCTATCGCTTTATTACCTATTTAGGGGATAAATCATGTTTTAAAAAGTAAGTAACTAATTACTTCTGAAAATAAGTAATCAGTAAAGTAACAGGATTACTTTTTCGGGAAGTAATCAGTAATTAGTTACTGATTACTTTTTTCAAGTAACTTGACCAACACTGGTTGCTGTTATGGACAGCAGTGGTGGATGATTGGTTTCTGGCAGGTCAGCGTTTGTTTCGCAGTTAATTAGCAATTAGTTTTTCTCAGGTTTCTTTTGACACTGTTGGCTATTGGCAACAAAACATTTGATGGTTCTGTGATCACGCGTCGATATATTAGAAATTTCAAGAGTGCGACATCATTCAGAAAAGAGAGTAACAGCTGAAGTGTTAAGTAGTAATGGGAGCCAGTTAACATCTGTGCTCTGAAGCTTACTAGATAGAATCATGGTTGGACATCAGGCTACTTGATTATGGAAGAGAATCGTCATCATGCTGAGTTTGGCAAATGTAGTTTATTTAATATGATTACTTGTTGAGTTGTTTGGTTTTCCATATCTGTCTGAGAAAACACTCCTTTCACAGCCTTATGAGGAGTAAGTTTGGACTTTAAGGAATGGGTGTGTACAAATGTTAAAGACAAAGGGTGTGGTGGAGGTGTAACACAAAGTACAAGAGATTCTCTGTGAAACAGACTGTAACAGTCATTGTTTTATCTTGATTTTCTGGTTTTCATAATTGATTGCAAACCTAAAATCTCTAGGCTAAAATTGAAAATAAGGGTAGGTTTTCTTTCTAATACCAAATGAAACCACTGCAGGACAAGTTTGCTAAAGAGAACCTTGACACTCCACTCTTCTGCCGGGAAAATGTTTTGTGAACAAAGTGAAGCTCAATTATTCAGAAATAACATCCACTTTGTGTGTCTTGGCCACCAGCATGAAAACATCATCCAAAAGGTGAAGTGTGATTGGTTGTTGTTTTTGCTGCTTCTCTCCTGAATAGTTTTGGCGGGCAAAATGTGTTTATCAAGGAATCTTGCAGGATAATTTCAAGGTGTCTGCACCTTTCTACAGCGGGACATTAAACTGAAACATCAAAGTAAATGTGCTGCAGAATGGCTCGGATCAAAATCTGAAATTAGCTTGAGTATTTTTGTTTTATATGCCAAAGACAACCTCAGAACACACTGTATAATAAGACAGACAGATCCACTGAATGTGTTTTTCCTGCTTTTATTGGTTCATAATGACACTTGTTATATTTTTCTCTACAAACATATCTTTAAAGTTGCTTACAGTATTTACTGATCTCATAAATTTAGAAGTTACTCTGAGTGAGGTTATACTAAGTTTTAATGCACTGTATGCATTTCTCTCAGGTGGACCAGAAAATGTGTCTACATCCATCAGTCCTGCCACTGCACTGTCCAATGGGACCCTTTACACAGATCGGGGTTCATCCGTTACTTTAAGGTGCTCCGGCTCCTCCTACCCGTCTCAGCACCTGACCTGGGCCTTCAGCGGTGACTCGTCAAGCAACGACTCGCTGGTTTCAGGCTCTGGATCGTCCCTGGAATTCACCATACAAAACATTCAGCCCAGCGCTCAAGGAGTTTACAGCTGCAGGGCCCACAACCCTGTTTCAAATGTGACAGTAATCAGTCGCAAGGAGCTGCTAGTGTACTGTAAGTATCACAAACAGGATAATCTGCTGTGACTGTAAGCTTGACAGTGTAAAGTGGGATTTTATGTATGTTTATGTATGTTTGAATCAAAGACTGAGCTTTGGTTTAATGGCAAAGACTGCAGCAGGGCTGAATACTGTAGAACTTTAAGTTTGTTGACATGCAGGCCTGAGTTTTAGTGCTGATATTAATGTGATAATTTTCATATAAACACACCCACTGTTTATGCATTCTGCCCTTTCATTTAAAAAACACATCCTTCACTTTAGCATGCCTACCTATAAAGTGGTGTCATTATTTAGCAGAGGAAACAAAAGGAAAATCTTGAAGATTGCATGTGACAATTTAGCCAGAGAGTGGAGCTGAAACACTCCTGGGTGCTGTAAGCTTCACCAAAACCTGTTTTTTTTTATTTTTTTTTATTATTTTTTATTTATACATTAATGGGTTATATTGCTTAAAAGCAGAAAACATTTCATATTTTACATTTTTAATATGTGTTTTAGATACATTTTTGTTTATAATTCACTCAGTGGGAATAAAAAAAAAACCTAAATGGCTCTTCAAGTACAACTTGAGGTCAAATCCACAAAAAGAAACTTAGCACAGTGTTTTAGGTTTATAATGAATGTTAGTCAGTAAGCTACAAAACTGTAGACATGTTGAAATGTTTGCACGGAGACATTCCTGGACAGAAAAGCTGAATAAAATATTTAGTTATTCACAGTTTTATTAGTAAAACTGCTAGCTAAGCATAAAAGATAATCCAGTCCAGTTCAGAGTGGCGTGGGGACTACTTTTTCCCTCTTAACCTCTTGCTGTACTACAAGACAGAATATGATAGAGGGCAAGCAAGGCTGTGGCGAGAACAAAAAATGCATACTGAGAGATGTTTTGATGGGCTGAAAAAAAGCTGAGTCAGTACCCACCAGCAGCTGAGATGAGGGAAAATGAATGCCAGGAAAGGTCAAAACATGCTGCCCAGGCCTCACTGAAAATATTACACTCAAACACTGTGAATGTCATGATTAATCGTGGCGTAACTGTGGAATGATTTTATCTATGTGGCTTCTGTTACGAGGAAAAAAAATACTATATTATGTGCAGGGTAAGGAGGCTGTGGCGGTTTATTGAGTCACTGCGATAACAATACATTGAATTGACTTCCTGAAATGTTTGCACGCAGCTTGTTCCCTGTTTTCGCTGACTTCCTGTAGCTCGCTTTTCAACACGGAAAAATCAAATCCATTTTTACTGAATGTTTGGAAATAATAGGCTTGTTTTATATGTCAGGTAACACTTTGTTTTACAGTTCCAGTGTTTTCTTAAAATTTGTTTGAGCACAATTGTTATGTAAATGTGTTGACAGCACAGACAGAGGTTAACTAATATACATCCATTTAAGCAAATTATTTCAGTCTTTTCTCAACAGTATGCAAATGTTTACAGGTTTCGATGCCGTGTTTGAAAGAAGAAATTTTCATTAATGAAATCATAATAAATGATTACTTACTCTGCTTTATATCAAGGTTACACAGGATAACTAAACTCAAACAGCTTTCTCTCTTCTTCCTACTTATAATTAATACTGAATGAAACAACTGAAGTTTCAGTTCAATTCATTATATAGTGTCAAATAACAACAAAAGTTGCCTCAAGGTGCTTTATATTGTAAGGTAATGTCCCTACAAAAATACAGAGACACCCCCAACAATCATGTGACCACCTATGAGCAAGCACTTTGGTCACAGTGGGAAGGAAAAACTCCCTTGTGACAGGAAGAAACCTCCAGCAGAAGCAGGCTCAGGGAGGACCGGCCACTCAGATGCTTTAAGTTTCACCAGAACATTTAGTAATTAGTGGAAAATATGGCATCAGAGATGGGTTTCTTCTTTATTCAGCTGCTCCCTTTAGGCATCTACTTCCAATCTTATCCCATCTCTATCATTCTCCTCTGTCACACCAACCCTCTGCATGTCCTCCTTCACTACTTGCAAGAATCTCCTCTGTTTTCTTCCTCTTATCCTCCTGTCTGGCAACTCCATCTTAAACATCCTTTATCCAGTATATCTGTTCTCATTCTTTGGCAGATATCTAAACTGTCTCAGCCTTGCCTCTCTAATGCTGTCTCCAAACTGCTCAACCTGGGCTGTCTGATGTACTCCTTTCTAATCCTGTTCCTCCTGGTCACTCTCAACAACTCTGCCAACTCCAGCTCGACGTCCAGTCTTTTTGTTAGAGCCACTATCTCCAATACCATACATCTCATCGGGTCTTACTATTATCTTGTAAATCTTCCCTTTCACTCCTTCTATCAGATTCCCCCCCTCCCGACACTCGTTTTTACCCACTCCACCCTGCCTACTCTCTCTATTCCCTATCTCGCACACTGTCTGTTGTTTCGGTTGACCCTAGATCAACCCCAGACATAAGAGTGAAGTATCAAAAGTGAAATTGTTATTCTAAGAAAAGTTAAGCTCTCTTAGTACAAAATCATGGATAGATTGAATGTGCAATGGCACTCTAAACACTTTACAGAATTCATAACAGGATCAGACAGACCAAAAGTGAGCCCATGATCGAATGATCGATACATAAAAATGTGTTAACTGAATGATAGAAGTGCAGAACCTGATAGCTTGTAGTCTCTAAAGCAGCTTTTCAGATCAGATACAAGCTAACACTGTGCTAACACCTCAAAGCTTTTCAAAAACGATTTGAAGATCAAAGAACACTAACTGGCATAGACGTACCACGCAGTGACCTGTGATTAACCCTTTATGGGGGATCTTGAGGCCTGATTAAGCCAAGCATTCCTGGCATAACATTCCCGACATCTTTGAATGTCTTTGGACTTTGATAATGTGGGTTAACACATTCCACAAGTTGGAAGCAACTTGTGGTGCTCATGAAGCTCAAGTGCAGCTTTTGTTAAGGAAAACAAGGCAAACCCAATGCGAGGGAATTCTTAAGCGATGAATGTAATATTGTTATATGTAACAAAATATTTTTAGTAAATAAAACATTAAAAAACACTTAAAGGTCTAACAGAAAAATCTCAATTAAAATTTGCTCTTAATTTGAGTTTTGCTTTAAGCAGCTTGAGGTGACTGTTATTGTGATTTGGCTCCACATAAATAAAATGGAACTGAAATGATCTGAATATCCTTTCCTGAACATACAGGAGTGCATTCCTACTGCTCATTACTGATGCTTTTATTTTTATTTCTTTTTCTCCTAATTAGATGTCTCAGACAGACACCCTGAGTGTAAATGGACACTGACACAGAACATCTCTCTAGTCCAGTTCACCTGCACTTGGTTAGAAGTTTATCCCACCCCAAACCTACGTTGGAACATGGGACCATTCCAGGTGGCGGACAGCCTCAATGTTACGATGAGCCGCTCCACGCTGTCAGACGGGCAGACCGTGAACTGCACAGCCCAGCCCCAGCACCTCGGCCCAGAAAAAGAGAAGTCGTGTTCGTTTACCCTCGGTAAGCTTGTTGTAGGGAAATGAGCCTCTTAACGATCCTGAGATGTACAAATGCTGAATCTTTAATGTACTTTTGACTTAAGAAGCCACAGTGACACTCGCTGCTGTCAATCACTGTTTGTAGTTCTGACATCACATTTATGTCATGGTTGAGCTTCTGTGCAGGTAGTATATTTGATTACTCAGAATCACAATAGTTTATTATTCTCAGCGAGGAAGTTACTTTGTGACAATAAAAAAAAGGCCACTCAGAGAGCGCAAAAAGTGTGACCTTGACTCAATTTACACCAAAATCAAATCAGCTCAAGCTGTTACTGGTATCTACTATCAACAAAATTTCAACATGATAGCTTGAAAACTGTGGACACTATAATGCTAACAAACAAACAAACAAATAGAATCAATTACATACTCTCTCCCTTTGGACGAAGAACAAACTATGAAAAAGAATAGTGCATGAAGTACAAATAAAAATAAATAAACACTGTAGTATTTAAAAAATATACACTCAAAGCAAAATAAAAGTTAAACAATATCACGTGCAACATTTACTACATGATGACAAGTGAAAATAATTCGGGCATCGGTCTGTAATCACTGATTAGTCATAGGATTCGTCCATAACTTGAACACCATCCTCCTTTCTCACACTGACTCCACAGAGTGAAGCGCCACACCCACAACGTCACCAGCCTTCCAGATCAGTGCGAGTCTGTTGGTGTACACCACCCTCTGCTGCCCCAGCACACCAGTGGATGGCACTGGCCACCACAGACTCCTCAAATTAAAAACAAAAAACAAATTGGTGCAGGTCTACACCCAGATTATTTTGTCTCAAGTTTTTTAAAATTGTAAAATGCAAAGTGCATTGTGGGTATTTTGTCAGATGATCTTTCAATTTAAAAGTCCAATTAAATCTGATGAAACAGCTATATGGTACAGCCCTATAAAATTACATGGTTCTTAACAGGAACATTACCTATAGTTGAATAATATTTTCAAAATAAGAGTGTGTGAAAAAAGTCTTAGAAGATATCACACACAATGTCACTTTTGTCTAACATACAGTTTTTCCTTCAGGGACAGAGTTTCTGTAAAAACGTCACAGTAAACTGAAACCATCCGCATGATCAGATATCATGTGACGTATGTGAGGAAAAATATGTGCTGCAGGAGTAGGAACTATGTGAGCAATGCTTATTTGACTTAGAGAATGATGGCGCCCTCCCTTGAAGCCAACAGGTCAAAAATTTCTGGTCACAATGTGAGAGAGTCACAACCCAGGAAAACTAATTATGTTTAGCATTACTCCAGAAATATGGCTAACATTGTCATACTCGTCATAAATGTAAAAGTAACTTGATTGGGACTAATCCTAATTATTGGGTATTGTTTTTAATATTCATATGAAGTACCATAATATTTATTCGATTAAGCTTTCCAGCCCTGACAAGAATAACACTTAGCCGTGTGCTCATGAGAACACAACACAGGGCATGTGGGCAGTTAGTGAGTCACCCAGTTGTGTAAAGGTTATCATCACATGCCTTATTCAAACAATGAGTTGATGCAACAGGATGTGAGTTGCTGTTCTCTGATCAGCCTTCTTCTGTGAATCAGAAACACTGAACAAAAATGACATTTTGTCAAACAAAATGAGTAAAATTCCAAAATATTCTTATTTATTTACAAATTGCAATTGATATTTACTGAACAAACAAAGCAATAGTCCAACCAGTTTGGAGGTCATGAAAAAGTATGAACAGTGTCAGGTTTAGAGCTGGAGTGATTGGTTGATATATCAAATAGCGGATATTAGTGTTTTTAAAATGTAAAAAAGTAAAATTTAAAAACAAGAAAAGGTGTGGAAAAGTGTCAAAATACTGAAAACACATTTATTTTGAAGTTGGAATTCATCCAAAATACAAACAAACCTTCAGCTTTTGCATGAAAACAACACAGTGATATTATTGCAGTACCAAAACTGTCACCAGAGGGGAAGAAGAAGCTATAAAATTCCACTTCTGAGCTTAGCCATGTAGCAAGCTATTTTGGTGTATTTTTGTCCTCATCAGCCAGCATGACTCATAGAAAGGGACTGTTTGGTCTTAATAACAGACCAAAAAAACCCAAACATATTGTGTTAATTTATCTTTTTTTTTTTTTTTTTTTTTTAAAGCAGCATTTTTGTTTTTACTGAAAACATATGATCAGTATGATCATAAGCTCTTTTGCTCTCTTGGTAAGAGTTGGATAAGAAGACGAGAAGATCAACAGCTTTCATGTCTGTGCAGTGTATGTAAGGTTTCTGCAAGAAGACGGCTTATTTCCAGTGTTTATTTATCGATCTTGGCTCAAACCTCAGTAAACCACAAAATGCTAGTTTTGAAAGTAAGGGTTAATTAGAGAGCTGAAATTGTTTTTAAGTGTGGTCAGGCCTGGTTTTTGGTCTTCATTTTCATTTACAGTGTTAATGTTGTGCTGAAATGTTTCCTGGCCACAACTTGGCGTTTTCTGCTCAGAAATATTTGTCCCCTCTTGATTGTTATTCTTCTTTTTTTTGCATATTTATCACACTTACATGTTTCAGATCAGAAACCCAGGTAAATACAAAGTGCAGCTTTCACTCCTCGGCCTTAAAACTTGGGTGATGTGGACACCCAAGTTTGTGAATGTGATAACTCAAGGATGAAGCTAAAAAGCTATCCAAACTACCTGGCTATTGTGAAAAAGTTGTTAAATCACAAATTAACTTTGATTAACCACATTTTTTTTGGAGGGAAAGCTGAGTTCAATTTCATTACACAACCATTCCTCATTACTGCCAAACCTAAATCACCAAACAGAGCTTGTCTGACATAGATCTTAAAGAGCAACACATCATGTCATGATCCAAAGAAACTCAAGAACAGATGAAAAACAAAGTTATTGAAAGTCTGGAAAGGGTTAAAGGGCTATTTCTAAGGCTTTGGGAGTTCGGTGAACCACAGTTGCAGCTATTAAGTGCAAATGGAGAAAACTTGGAAGAGTGGTGAACCTTTCCCAGGAGTGGCTGGCATACCAAAATTACTCAAAGAACACACTGATGACTCAACGGGAAGTTACAAAATAACACAGAACAACATCTAAAGAACTACAAGCCTTACTCGCCTCACTTAGGTTCAGCAGAGGTGTTCATGATTCAACAATAAGAAAGAGAAAGAAATATTCTGTGGACTGATGAGACAAAAGTTTAACTTCCTGCAAGGTTGTGTCCCATTACATCTTGCATTCATATAAAGGACATCGTACCTGCAGACAAACATATTGATGGTAGTGCGATGGTGCTTCAGTGGCTAGACAACTTGGTGTAATTAATGGAAGCATGAATTCTGCTACCAGAAAATTGTGAAGAAGAATGTCCAGCCTTCGGTCGTACACTGAAGTTCAAGCGTACTCGTGATTATGCAGCAGGAAAATGATCTGAAACACACCAGCAAGTCCATCTCTGAATGCTTCAGTAAAGGCAAAATGAAGGCTTTTAGACTTGAATCAGATTGAGATGCTTTAGCAGGACCTTAAAAAGGCCGTTCGTGCTCGATGTGGCTCAATTAAAACTATTGTGGAAAGGAGAGTGGGCTAGAATTCCTCCACAGCAATGCAATCAGTTACAGTTCTTGCATCCAAGGGTGGTACAAACAGTTAGGTTTGGGGAGCGATTACTTTTTCCACATAGGCCAGGTCGGCTTGGAAATTATTTAACCCAAGTAAAGTGCAGTTGTTATCTTTGTCTAATATCAAAACTTGTTTGATGATCTGAAACATTTAAGTGTGACAAATGTGCAAAAAGTAGGAATTTGGGAGTAGGGCAAATACTTTTCAAGTAAGATTCCTCATATGCTTTATATCCCACATAAATCAAGTTTTGTAAATGTAAATACATTTGACTTTTTTTTTAAAATATCTGACTGAAATGATAAAGTATCTGATTTTTATTTTTATTTTTCCTCCTCTCTCACTCTGTCAGAGCTTCCCTTCCCTGAAGGCGAACCAATGGTCTCTGCTCTGGAGGCAAGCAACGTAACACTCGCATGCACTGAGACCACGTCCAAGCCCCCTGCAATTACCACATGGAGAAAGGGATTGCAACTGGACTACATTGAATCTGGATCAAAATACATCCTGTCTTTGGAAGGCCCGGTCTTCAAGCTGACCATAGTAAACGTCACTAAGGAGGACGAAGGCTTCTATTTCTGCCACAGTGAGAACCCGCTCGGACTACGCGAGCTGGAAGTGGAGCTCACTGTGAAGAGTTGAGTTTTGAATAAGAGGAATATCTTGGCATTAGTAGTTTTACAGAATAGATCATTTGCATGTCTTTGCATTTTTTTCCAATGTCTGCGTGAGATAACGAATAGACATTATGCAGAAGTGTAAACAGCATGCTAGTCACTACAGGTGTTGACTCCGCCTCTGGAATCCAGATAAACCTGCTGCTCCACCCTTTTTTGTACTTCATAAGCTTCTCCTGTTGCCTTTTTTGGTTTCAGCAGCCTCTTCCGCGTACACAGGAGCAGTCATCGGCATATTTATAGCAGCACTGATTATGGGGTCAGCTGTCATCATAGCCAAAATTGTCTACAACAGCAGAGACCGGATTTGCCTGGGTAATTTTTTTTTCTTTTCATAAATAAATTTTGCATCAATAATAGCGTCAGCCTCTGATCAATAACAATCCACATGCTGTATCTGCATTTTAAATTAATAGGAACTGTATTAAACATGAAAATCTACTAATACTGATGCCATTCTTTGTGTTTGTATTTTTGTGTCAATAGGTGGCTTTGGGTGAGTATTTCATATTTGCTTTTGGCATATATACTAAATGCTTACTTTAGTTGCACAGTCCATATAGATTGAGTTAAAGTACTTTATGCACATCTGTGTTGCATTTGAAATGCATTGTTTTTTCCATTTAAAAGCAAGCCAATCATCAAGTAGTACCATTATTTTCTAGGAGTTCTTTTTACCCCTCGCCTGTAAAAGGCAGTTGGGATGTTGTGGTCACACTGCCTGATGGGAAGGTGGGCAGGTCATTTGTACACCCAACTTTATGAATGTGATAACTCGAGAACGACGCGAAATAGGAGTATTGAGTTCATACCATAGGTGTATCTACTAAAAGTTTCAGACAAGTTCCAATCTCAGTGACCTCATTCTCAGGTCAAGGTCAGAGGTCAATCTTGTAATTGTAATAACTCGAGCACGAGGCAATGTAGGATTTTGAAGTTGATACCATAGATGTATCTATTAAAAATCTTACCATTATTTTCTTTTTAAGTTGGATTACAAGGAATCTAAAATTATGAGCATCTGTGCTTTTACAAATATGGAAGGATCTCAGAGAAAGGACAAAAAGTAAATCCTACCATCTATACATCTTCAGCACCCTTAAGAGTAATTCCACCTCTGAGCAGTAGACGATATCTTGATACCATGCTCAGCCTGCACACACTTGCTGCTGCTTTTACAAGCTGCTTTGCAAATAACCTCTACTTGCAGCTGCTCCATTTCATAGAGCTTCTAACTGATTTTTGCTGTCACTGATGTCTGCCCACACATTTTAGCTCGCACAGAGGGGGTCAAACTCCAGTTTTGTGATTGAAAGTGTGCTCCGCTTCTGGCGCCTCAATCTTGTTTAAAAACAAAATGCTTCTTTAAAACTCTTCACCTTACATGGCAGAACTGCGTAAAACAAGTTTTTCAGCTAAATTGTCACAGTTGTTTAGTTGGAGGACTAGCACATATAAAACTTAATTTGCTAAACTGAAGAATTTTAGCTTGTGGTCTTTATGATGATCATTCACATTAAACACATTTCTCCAAAGGACTTTTAGTGGCCAAAAATTCCAAAATGGTGACTTTGGTTTTGGTCAAAGCCATCTCTGGAATGTGGACTGAACAAAACTGTCTAACAAATACTTGGCGAAGATCAGTTTTAAAGATCTGGCTGCACGTGTGCGCCCGTGTCATACTATTCTCACCTCTGCAGGCAAGTGGATGACGACAGTGGAGACGTTCTGAGTCTGGTGGAGTCGGATGACGAACAAGTCTTCCAAGATGCAGTTCCCCGGCTGCCTCCAATAACCAACGGACATCACACAACACTTGTGCAGATACATCGAATCCCATCAAGTAGGACTTCATCACAGCAATTTATAAGTTTTCTAATTTCAGTGTAAAAATATTTTGTAATACAAAAATGTCCCTCTTTTATTCAGGTGATCACGAGGATGCAGAAACTGCTGACACAAGTCCACAGCAGCAGGAGGATACCGTACAGACGGAAGAGCCAGTGCAACTTGTAGAATTTTAGGTATTGGGGATTTTTTTAGAGCAATGTTTAGTTTTAGGTAAATTTACTCCTGAAGAGAATGTGAACAGAATCGGTGGCAGAAACCTTTTTGTCCTTCCTTTCTATTTTTTTTAATTTTTTTTTTAAGATTCTATATTTTTTGTAAATTTATTTTGATTGATTTGTTTATACAGTATGTAAAAATAAATAAATGTAATACAGTAAATGTGTTTGAACAAATATTCTTTGCATGTTTTTATGAGTTTTGTATTTTTAAAGGTGTTCACTATGTACACTATGCAGACCAATATATGTGACCTTTGACTATCTCGGTCTAGAATGCGACTCTGCTGCAGAACTTTTTTTTTTTTTTTTTTTTTTTAAATGCAGCAGAGTCAGTTCGTCACTCATCTGGGATTCATGCTACGTGTGAAACAAACTTGACTCACTCACTTGAAAATATTTACACGAGATCTATGTGAGAGGGAAAACTGAAATTAAAAACTCTAAAGGGTTTGACAAAAAATTTGTTGATTTAAACAAAATTATTCAATATTAGAATTTATTATTAGTGTCCTTTTAATGCAAAAGTAGAATTGAGTCTCTCAAGTCACCTCAGTTTTTATAAGGAAGATTTTACTGGATAATTAATAGTCTAAATAATTCACTGTGTAAAACCATCAAAATCATATAAAAAATGTAGTGCTGTTGTGTTTCTTTTAAAGGAGACAGATGGATCATTTGAATGGCACTTTAAATCCAAACAGTCTGCAGGCTTTAATAATGCATTAGGCTGTTAAAGGGAGATCCAGCCTCACACGTAACAGTCTGGAAATAGGTGCTCTGATATATTAATAATTCATGGTACATATTTAAGATGATGTGTACACAGTACAGAGACCTTTTCACTGCTTTTGAGGCAGCTATAATGTTATTCTACGGCTATGATCACATCAAGTTTGTATATTTTTCTTTTACATTAAAACAAACCTTAATAGTCACACATGGACACCAACTGAAGAAGAATTTACCGGTTAGAAAAACAACAGGAGACAATGCGACATGAAATGAACATGTATATAAAAAAAAAAATGTTATGGATCATCAGGTATTTAAACTGTTTTCATGCACTTGTATAGAAAGTTGTTCTGAATGTTTTTTTTGTTATTGTACAGATATTTGATACATGATTTGCAGGGCAGAACCAAAAGGGGAAATAAAGGATAAAAACATAAGCAAATATTTTGTGAATATTTGTGTACGTCTACAGAAATATTACATTACTGTACTCCTCTATATCAGTGAGAAACATTTTACTCTAGTATAAAATTTGGGTGCAAAATTCTTTCTTTAAAGATTTTTGCACCCAAAGGCAATCACTGTATGCTAAAGAGACTCATTTTCAAAAAGGAATAGATAAAACACAATCTACATGAACAAGAAATAACCCACAAATTGTATTTCTCAATGGCACAAATTAATTCACAAATTTAGAAGTCCCTGTTGTTACTAGATCAATACTCATTCCCTGTAATTCAGTTTGAACAATTTTATGTCCTTAAAAAGTCAAAAATATTCAGTGATCTCAACTAATAATGATAATATTGTTCATCACAGCGAGAAAAAAACAAGCAAGCAAAGTACAGTAGGCCAAGAATAATCATGCATGATGCAAGAGAGCAAAGCTTGCAAATGAACTTCACATGAAGGCTCAGTTTTCACAGCTTTTTCACTTTGTAGTTTTGCACATTTTCTGTTGCTCTGGGTGAAATAAAAAAAAAAACAACTAAACATTGTTTATGAATATTTTAGTGAGAAATTTTCATATTAAATGTGAACTTCAACCCAAACAGTTGACCAAAGGTACCAGGGTATTTTCCACTATCATAAGAGGGGCGTGTCAGTGTGTGTGTGTGTGTGTGTGTGTGTGTGTGTGTAAGAGAGAGAGACCCCACTAACAAAAAAAAGTCGCTCCACGTCCCTGAATCACTGACTTTGGGTATAATAAAGCCAACTCTCGTTATAACGAGTGGATACGGTGTAAGGAACAAGCTGGATTGTTGTTTAATCTCATGGGGGGTGTGGTTTAAGGGTTATAATAAGGTTACGTCATGAAAGGAGACGTGATCACGTTGGGCAATGGTACAAATGAGTCAGATAACAGGAACTCACTGAACATTTCGTTTCTTCTTGTCACGTTATCTCTGACAGACAGCACTCTGTCGCCGAGCCTCTGCCCTCTGCGGACGTACAAAGTGTGAACTCCTTTAGTTTAAATGCTGCGGTCAACCGGGGAGGGCACGTTCAGGAAGTCGGTCACAAAGCGAAGAATGTGAAAAGCGAAAGGATGTGCTCCACGGAAAACAACCCAGAGCTGCAGCCGACATGTAAGTGAATATTTGCGACTGTCGTCCGAGCTCGGTGAGTACGTTGTCATCGCAACGATCAGAAACTAGGCAGCGGTTACTTGGAGATGGCCGTAAACCTCCAGAGGCACCGTATACAACCGAGCAGGGGACGCTGGTGGGTTAAGAGTTGCAAGCGCTGTCAGAGGATGAACGTGCCAAACGTTGATTATGTGGTGTCTTTCTATCCTCCTTCAGCGTCCGACCCGGCTCTTCTCCTGGAGCTGAAGACCAGGCGACCTCCGTCCTTGGTGGAGAGAGCTGGACGTGAAACCTGGAGTGTTGACTTCTCTCCGGATGGAGCTTGGTTCGCCTGGTCCATGGGACACGGGATCGTCTGGGTCGTCGCCTGGCCTCTCGACTCCGAGTAGGTTTTACTGTATATTTAATCCGCACGTGATGCATTCAGGTCGCCCTCGAAGATTCTGGTTTCCGTGTCAGGTGGAAGGTGGTGGTGGCAGGTCCTGCACGGGCTTTTCGAATGATTGATTGATTTTTTTTATTTTTTGATTAATTGTGGCACAGAGGCGCCCGCAGGTAACAAGAACACTTGATTCGAAATGAATACAGTGACGGAAATACCGGGGACACTCAAGTGCAGCCCTGTTCCTTCTACAGAGGCTACTACACAAAAAGTGTAAACATCTTTTTATATACAGTAACTGTTATGCAAAGTGACGGAATCTTTACTTAATCCAAAATATATCGGTAAGTCTAATAGTATTAAAAATATATTTTATTTTTACCTAAAGTAAAATGTGTGTAGTTTTATCTGTAGTAATACCGAACAATATGTGTCAGTTACTCTACAAAATCTACAAAATAAATAACTGAAGCGTTAAAACAAGTACTATACTCGCATCAAAAAGACGAATAACATAGGTACATTAAAAGTGTACTCGAGTAAATGTCCAAACTGCTCTTATACAATGACGCTGGGCTTTGTAAGATTAACAGTAGCACGGGTGGGGTGGGGTGGGGATGGTGGTGGACAATCAGATTTAACCCCTTGTTTTCTCTTCTAATACACGCCTGTATTTATGTAAGAAATCAAGCCACCTGGGAAAAAGTATTACTTCATGTTCGGCTAGATCGAGTAAACAGTTAAAATGTAACCTTATGATAATATCCTTTGGCTTCTATAGCCCGTCTCTGTCTTGCACAACTCCACAATAATGATCACAGTCCATTTCTGCACTGGCTTTTGTATTATAAAGATCCAGTGTTTAGTGTTATGTGTGGTTATGAAAGTTAATCAGTATGTGAAAATATCCTCATGCAACTGAGCAGTATTTTGGAAATAAGGCATGACTGCGATAAAAACTCCAGAAAATAAGCATTAAAAGCATCTATTGTTTAAAGTAAGACCAGATATAGATTTTAAAAATAGCTTTAAGTAATGTCATTTATTCCTTTTTTCATTTATTTATTTATTAAAAATTCTAATTTTTCTGTATTTAATATTAAACTTTTGGGTCTTGCTGTTATGCCCTACACCCCCACACCTCTAAATTAGGCCCCTGAAATTATAGTATTTTTCTGTCTAGTGCCCACAAAGAATTTCCCTTCGGCTCAGCAGTGTTCATTAGTGCCAATTTGTTTGAAAAATGCTCAGCACTGCTGCCAATACCACACAAAATAACAAAACAGTACTCTTTATTTTTTTCTTTATATTTTTGTTGCAGTAAAGAATTGTTGCTCCATGAACAATGTGACTTACAACTTTAAATACTCAGTAGATTTTGTTGGTACATTTGATAAAACATATGGAAGGAGGCAGAAGAATGCAAGTGGATGTATTCATTCCAGCTATTATTTTAGATTAACGTGAAAGAAAAAAGCAAAACATGAAGACTCAAATTTCAGCTCTCAGTTTACCGTTTAGTTGTTTAGATCTGCTGTGACCAGCAACACTTGAAAGCTGCATCATTTAATCACCAACTCTAGCTTCACACCGCCTACACTGGAGTTTTTTATGGCATCTGCACTCTTGGTGCTCCTCTCACCCACAGAGAAAGTCAAAATGGAGAGACTGACAGAGGAGACAAAAGCTTCAGTTGTGGTCACCCAGTGTGGGGGCTCGCCTTCGGGCCCAGACCTCCAAAATCAAATGCAACAGCGTGTCCGGCTAAAGCACGATCAGAAGGGAAAAACAGCCTGCTTCTGGCCACGGGCTTGGAGAACGGGGTGATCAAAATCTGGAACGTTTTAACAGGTGAGATTTTTATTTTTCTGTGACTGTTAGTTTTGCTTGGCTGAATTAAATGGATTTTCAAATCGCTTGTTTTTTCTTTTCCTTTCCTTTAGGCAGTGCTGTTTTTGATCTCCACGGCCACGAAGGGGTTGTAAGGGACCTGGTATTTCCTCAGAATGGGACGCTCACACTCATATCATCCTCTCGGGACAAAACTTTGAGGATATGGGACCTGGCTCATAAAGGTATTTTTCAGATATTTATGAGAAATACCTGTGAGTAGCAGTCACAACTGTCTTATTTTTAAAAAATGTTTTGGACAAAATATAATCTACATATTTGGTGCGTCCTTTTTACTTGGGCTCAAATTGTTTTCTTGCAGATAACCTTAGAACTGCAAGGCTTTTCAGCTGAATTTTCAAATGTCAAAGTACACCTCGAGCTTGCCTGATCACCCATTTAAAAAAAACTGTTAAATATTAACTGTCACGTGTCACCAAACAACTCTGGAGGCTTTGCAGACAGGGTCTTAATGACTGAAGCTGTCTATTCATTACTTCACCCCTGTTTAATCTTGTGAAACTCAGCTGAAATAAACCTTCTGTTCTAATGTAAGAGGTTAAAGCTAGCAGATGGCTGTGCTTACACATTCAGGAATCAGGAGCTGAGATGTACTGTCATTTTAAAAAATAAAGTAAAAATAATGAGGCTTTGTAGTCTCTCGTCTACATTTACATCCATGTTTTTCCTGTCTGTTTTAGGGAAAAAGGTGCAGGTGCTTTATGGCCATAAAGACTGGATTAGTTCCTGCTGCGTATCATCTGACTGTAGCATGATTGCATCTGTCGGGAGATTTGACAGGGTGAGGTGTTTCATTGCAAAAGTACCGTATTAGGTCATATTCATCAAGTACTGAGCACTGTAAAAGATAACTTAAGTAATTTTTTTGTGCATGTAAAACTCAAACACTTGTAAATGCTTAATGTCTCTAAGCTTGCTGAATGTGTCCTTTTGTCCTTCTTTTTATCAGTTTTTAATGAACATTTTCAACATGGATTTGGGCGACCCTGTTCATTCAACTCTGTGTCACATTTAATGTTGTTTGTCCACAAGTCTAATCAGGAGAATGGCTCAAAGTGTGTGATACAAATTGTCTAAAAGGGCAGCTTTAAATGCAATCCTGCATCACGTTAATTTTTCTAGGACAATGAAATTAGTTTGAAGGTATATTCAAGTATTTTCCTATTTGAATTCTTGCTCCTAACAAGTTTGTTGATATTTGCTTATGTAAAGTATTTAATCTTCTGCAAACTTCAGTTATTTTAGTGGTGTTTTCTTTTGACAGCTACCAGTATTGATGGATATGAGTTGCATACGTCCTGGACAAATTATAGGAAAAACCTGAATGCTTGATCTCTCCACTGAGCGTGGCTCTGTTATGCTGTGGGGCTATTTTAGGACATGTTGTTTTGAGTAATCATCTTTATCTGGTGATGAAACAGTTCTGTCCTCATGGGGGTGGTCTCTCACAGGATGACAATATCACTATCTAAAGGCTCTGGTTGGTTTGAGTATGAAAATACAGAGACTTATATTTTATGTCTTTAGTCAGCTGACACCAACCCAGTTAAACACCTATAGGAGATATCCATTTTCAGTGAAATTATCTGCTAGTGGGTGCTTCTGAATATCAATTGTAGTGGTCTGACTGTTTTACCTCGTCCTGCTATTAAAATGTTTTTAGGCCATTTAGCATTTTCTAGAAACTTCTGGAGCACCAGGAAGTCTTAACACTCCAGTCAAACTGGCAATTTCACATATTCTCATTTTCAAAGGAAAGCAGACAGCATAACGTTGTGTAATATTAGACTTTAAGAGCATAGTCACTCGCTGCTGCGTGGTTCAGGGTGTCCTGCTGACACCAAGCAAGTACATCACTGACAAATTACTAGCTTTTGTAAAAACATTTTTTCAGTTCTGCAGCAATTAATTACCCCAGGGACAAACTACTTTGAGCGTCGACTAAACCTACATTAATTTTCCAAATTAAAAACAGCCCTTCCAGCAAGGTATAAAGTCTCATTAACCCTGCATGATTATACTTTGATCAGATGGTGTGTCTGTGGAGTCTACGTTCATATACATTCATCAGGAACCTGACAGGAGGGGCCCACAAGACCGTGTACCTCCTGTCTTCTTGTGACTTCTCTCCTGACGGGGCAATTCTCGCCACTGCAGCCTTCAGCGGCTCCAGTTGGTGGATCGACCTCTGGGACCCATACACAGCAGAGAAACTGGCCACTCTGGCGTGAGTTTGTACAACTTTGAGGGTTAAAATTGTGCACAAAGACTCCATTCTATGGGTTACATAAGAAGACCGCAAATTACTCAAATAAACGGGTTGTTACCACTGAGTTTAAGTACAGAAGCTTAAATCTGTGAACCAAACAGCCCACACTGTCATTATCTCTGTTTGCGTATGACACGGCATGTGAAAGTATGTCCTAGTGTCCTTGTCTTTTGCAATCTGTTTTCTATGTATACTATGTGGAGCGTCTGACTTTGACTTGGTGCAGTTCAAAGTCATCGCTCTTTCTCTTCTGCACAGTGACTACTTTGAAGATTATGGGCAAAACCAAATATCAGCAATACAGTTCTCTCCAAACGGTCTGCACTTGACACTTGTGACAGACGACAGGTCAGTTACCTGAAAATGCTATATTATATAACTTAAATGTTTTACACACTGGAAAGATGCTTTCAGACAGATGTGTTGCGTTTGCAGAGCTCTTAGGATTTGGGAGCTGGGGGAGAAAGGGATGGTGATGGAGACGAAAAGAGACAGAGACTCTAATGGACTGTGTTGCAAGTACCATCCACAAGGGGGAGTTGTTGCTACGGGGTAAGGATGCTTTCATTTCAGCATAGATTCACAATATTAGAGGGTGGTCGATAGACATTATATGCCAAAATTCAGTTTACCCCACTTCCTAGCTTTATTTATTTTATTTTTTTATAAAGTATATTTATACAGCTAAACTTATCCATGAAATTAGGCTCTCATATCATTCAATTTTAGTCAAGAAAAAACCCCCAGTTATTAAGCTGTTAAATATAATATATTGGTGGGGGGATCAGATATGCAGATCCATCTAGTGCAGTGGCTCCTTTGAAAATACAAAAGTGGCTGAAAGCAATTCAGTGTCTAAAACTCTGTTCTAATACATAATGTTGGTAAATTACAAGCAACGATTTTGTCTTTTCGAGTACTATTAGTCAAAGCTACTTGTCGGTACCATGGTAACATCAATCTTAGGCTTGAGATAGTACGGAAGTTTGATTCATTTAAAGGTGAAAATGAGACCTGTCTTTACATTATTGACACCATCTGATTTGCATTAGACGCATTAAATCTACAAGCAAAATTAGGACCATCCCTGAACACACCAGTCTAAAGTATCTTTGTGAAAACTGGCCCCTGAATAAACATGCAAATGTGTCTCTTTTGGCAGAACCAGAGATGGCCACGTGAGGTTCTGGAGGGCACCCAGTGCGGTGCCCAGCTTGTGCCACCTGTGTCGATCTATCCTGCGCCACTCTATCTCCACGCACCAGATTGAGGCGCTGCCCCTCCCCAAGAGGATCCTCGAATACCTCACATACAAAAACATCCCCGAACGCCTCAAGTCCTGCTGCTCCTCAGATGAAGAGGAGTGGGAAAGTTAAATAGGAACTTTAAAAATAAATAACTGACATTTTCAGCGATTAACTATGATCCTAAAAACGCCTTGTATTTTCTGATAACAAATGCTTTGAAAGCTTGATGAAGCAGATTAAGCATATTTTAAGATACTTTAGATGCAACATTCCTGCACTAAGATTTCATTTATTGCACTACTGCGGTACTACAAAGCATACATTCAGTGTTCACATTGTTGACTTGAATAACAGTTTTATACTATTAATTTATTGTGTAAATATCAGATATATATCATTTCTAATTCCTGTGTTTACCATTATATGCACTGCTAATGTACTGGCACATAAATATTGCAGCAACTGGACTTATAAGAAAGGGTTTTATTAAACTGATTAAAACATACACATGTTCAATGACTTTTTTTTGGACAATGAACTGATTACCTGGTTGCAGTGATACTAAACTGAAAATAGGATTTTTCAAGTCCACCTTTTAAATCAAAAGTGCCAAAAGGATCTTTTGTTTCGTTTTTCCACTGTGCTGATCGACTTCCATCTTGGTTCTGTATGCAGATGTGAGTGAGTCAGATAGCTGCTAGCATTGTTCCAGACATCTTTTACACTGCCCCCCCCCCCCACTGTGGAAAAAGACCATCGTTGCATTACTGTATCTAAGGTGCTTCGCTGACCACGAGCTCTCTCACTGCCTGGAAAGCTGCAACCATGGAGCTCAGCTGGATCTTCTCGCTGGTTCCCGATGCAAGCCGATGTCTGAAGAGATGAAACATGAGCAATAATGGAAATAAAAAAATTTGCCACAACGTGTGGAAATCAACATGTTGGCGTCTTTATTATATTAACACGACTTGTTACATTGTAAATATTTTTTTAAAAAGCATCACACTTACTCTACGTCGGCCAACTTGATGAGCAGACTAATCCGAATAGCGGGAGGAAAATCCACTTTAAAGAAAAAACATTTTTAAAAATTAGATACTTTGCTTTTGATAGTAAAAACAGAAAAACTTTCATTAATGCACAAACTTGTGAGCTTAAAACTTTAACACTGAACACGTCACTAACCGCCAACCTTTCAGTGGGTTTTAAAGTGGCCCCATTGCGTGTTTTCTTTAACATGTGCTGTTACTATGGTTGACACTCATGTCACACGTGGCCAAAGACTGCTCCAAATACTTAATGGTTAGGGCTGGTCTGTGAGCACAGCAACCCCATCCACCTGTTCAAACCTTATGTTTGCGAGAGGCAGCCAATCAAATGTTGGCATAAAAGGAGGGTGGCTTTTGTGCTGGGGTGCTTAAATTAAAGAAAGAAATAAAAACGTGTGATTTTCCCCCCCCTTGCATGTTCCTTACCTCTGTGTACAAGCAGATGAACCTCAGTGAGAATATCATGCAAAGCCAAACCTTTCAGAGTCTTCAGCTCAAGGATTTCTTTCATGCATGTGTTAAAGAAATGCAAGATCATAAACTGTACTACTAATATAAATTTTTGTTCATTAACCCACCATTCAAAAAAAAAAAAAGTCACCGAATCTTTAAAAACATTTGCAAAGCATTTAGGTACAGCTAGCTTCTATTAACCTAAAGTTTTATTTGCAAGAAAGAAATGTTCTTTCTTGGAATATGCTAAACTTCATAAGAAATGTTCAAAGTATAAAATGTCATAGTCAAAAACAAGAAATGTGCAGCTTTCATAGAACTTAAATATAGGATACGGTTGTACGCTGAAGTAAAGTCTTTGTTGAGGCACCAGTCGAGGATGTTGGCTATATCTGAGCGGAGGGGGTGCCCTGTGCAGGTGTACACTGTGTCTTCTGTGACCTTCCCATAGGCCATACTGGTGCTCTGAAATCACAGAGATGGATGACATGCAGTACAGTTTACCCATCTGCAGTTTGGATATACAGTGCGGCAAAAAAGTATTTAGTCAGCCACCGATTGTGCAAGTTCCCCCACCTAAAATGATGACAGAGGTCAGTAATTTGCACCAGAGGTACAC